CACTTGAGGGAAATTTCAGTGTTTCGAAGCTACTTATTGAGTCAGGATGCAAGGTCAACATGCGGGACAACGAAGACAAAACGCCACTTTATTTAGCAGTTCAGAATAAACATGAACACGTGGTCAAACTTTTGCTTGAAAGCAATGCTGATGTCAATATGCGATACATTCAGGATCCAAAAGAGAGAGTTTACATTGTTCGCGGGAAAGACAAGGGAAGACCAACCTGGTATTGTGTCATGGTGGAGAAATCTTTATTGGGTTCATTTTTGAAACGGACTAGCGGGGGCAGGCTTGACGTAGCAGACTTCGGAACTGTTCTTAAATCTGGGTGGGGAGAAAATCCTTCTGACAGCACCAGAGAGGAAATGAGTAATAAAGCACGTGCTCTGTATAAAGAGGTGCAAGGCAATGCACTGCTGCATCAAGCGTGTGAAAATAACGACACCCAACTTGTGAAACTACTTGTGGAACACGGAGCAGATATCAATTGCCGAGATACTGAAGGTTTCACTCCTTTGCACGTTGCAGCGATCCATGGTAACATGCAAATTGTCAAAAAGTTTGTCGAGCTTGGAGCTGACGACAACTTGACCACACTGGATGGAAAAGATGCAGCTCACTTGGCTGAATTGAACGAAGAAACAGAAATTGAAGAATTCCTCAAATCAAATGAAAGACGCGTTGGGGTGAAGGCTGTTACTTTGCAAGAAACTGCGAAAGAAAAGAAGTTCAGTACAGACGCTTCTGTTGATCGCGCAACGGCAGAAAGATTTATTCCTAGCGGTTTGTAACATAATCCTAAGGAAGAAAAACCGCCCTGCAATTACACTGAATTAAATAATTCTGCAGTTTGAGAACCCTGCAGTTTATTCCTGACTTCGGCCGTCGTCGGTATTAAAAAGCCAACTAAAATTTCTAGCTCTCTAGAACGGTACACAATTTTACGCATGAGTCGCCAGCAAAATGTACGAGCGACTGCTGCACGACATAACGAGCAGGGAATTGGAGAAGATTACGTTAGCAGAGAATAAGGCATTGTACACAATAATTAGTATTTTTTGAAGACAAATCCCCTCTTAGTTACTGTAGTACAATGTGTATTGGCAGTGTACAATTGGAAATGCTGTAGTGAATCTAAGCGTCTTGCCTTCTTGATTAATCTTGGTATTTTAGTCAGGTTTAAATTACAGTGGAAGCTCGTTATTGGCAGTATTGACGAGTTGGCCTAATTTACGGGTCGGGATTATGGCCCTTGCCCGGTTTAAATAGGATTAAACATAAAAATACAAGGTATCAACCAACTATAGAAAATATTGTGCCATTGCCCTTCCGCCAAGAACCCATTGCAAGTTATAAGCTGTAATCTTTCGAAATCACTGCGTGGATTTAACATGATGGGAAGAAAAGATTTAACCAATTGCTATCGGTTTTGGCCTTCTAAGTCAACAGCTTTCAAATTTTTTGAAAGTGTATTTATTTGTTTTGTGAGGGCAAAAATTTATGAGGATTTTAACGTGAGTTTCATTTATATTTATTATAGAGGTCCTTATGCGTCCCATGGCCCAGTGAGGGCGGGTGACAATTATAAAGCCTTCTCGCCAACTGGCAAACTGTCCGTAAAGAATATTACGGCAAAGATCTTGAATGATTATATTACCCAACGCATATACCTCTTACTAACCGAGTTCGAGGTCCGTACAGTAAGTTATGGAGGATCCGTAAGTTACAATACGGACCGAGATGACGAGGTTGGTAAGATATTCATTATATCTCTACTGTGTGCTTTAAAACGAGTCAATTTCAAATCATTGTTAAGTCGTACGCACGTTTGAATACACAATTTCAGATAAAAGGAAGTCTGAAACTTTAACTTGCATCAACGTTGAGAACACTACGCGATAAATCACGAAACATTTTGGCAGAAATACGGTCCGCTAAATGGACTAATCCCAGTGCGCTTAGTAACTGAGGGATATAATAAAAGCGATAAAGATTGCAGTTGGAAAAAGGATAGTTAGAAAATCTAGATTTCGTGGCTTCATTTCTCCTACAGTGCTAAAACCTGGTGAGGGTTTTCCGTAGATGCAGAATTTTCTCCTACAAAGATCTTTTGGAACAGAAAGAGACAGAAAAACAGTAGGTCAGATGAACATAAGGTATTTAATTTCACCGTGCATGCAGCATAAAATTCAACTTCTTATCGCGCTGACTGTGTTTGTCACTTATAATCAGTGAGATTCCTTCAATAAAGCCTTGACTAGCGTCACTCTTTCAACTGGTGATCCTGTGCCTGAACTCCTCCGCTAAATGTGCGTTGGCTAACATACATGCATTAGCTTACCATTTTCAGATCACTGAACTTAACAGAACATTTTGAGGAGCGATTTGCATTGTCATGATTGCAATGAAAAGTGCAGATACAAAACTTGGTAGAAGCTAGGCTTAAATTGAAAAAGAGAATATAGTTTTAGGTCGTTAGATTTCGAAATTATGGGCACTGTTCTTGATAATCAACCACTGATCTCCGATAATGATTTATGAAAGGCTGAGAATGGAGTTTTTGTATTAATTAAACAACGCGGGTCCATTCACACGTAGTCGTTCAATTGTACAGTCTCCCGCTACCCCAGCTCCATTGAATTCGTGACGAATGACGCCATTGCAAACATCTAAACAGATCCAGGAATGTACGAATGAGAAATATTTTCCCGAAAAACAATAATTCACCTTCACTTGAACGAGCTCAGCAACTAACTTATTTGAAGGATAAGATGGAATCAGCCATCGACTCGTACGACTTTCGCGCGACTCATGAGCGTGCTGTTCTAACAACCCAGCGTTTCTGTAGAAACCAATATGATGAATATGTTTCACCATTTTTGTTTAGATGCCGATGTGGCGCAAAAAGTAGATGGTCGCCCGAAACGCGGGGGCACATCATTTTTTCCTACGGGTCACTTCATTTTTTTAAACTTTTTTTTCTCACTAACGGATTTGTTTCTATGTATATATGTCTGAATTTATGAAAACCGTGTTAAAGACTTTACACCAAAATAGCGGGCATGTTTTGGAAAATCGGTTAGAAAATGTACATAAATATGCCCATGTCGTACCGAGAGTGCTATCTACCTCGTGTACTCTTAATAGAGTCCATACCATGCCTATACAAGCCTTTGAAGTCGCTGCAAATGAGTCGAACGAGCCAATCAAAGCTAAATTAGAGCTTACATCGATCATTTGGTTCGCCGCGGCACTAATTTAGACAGGCTTAACCTCTGCGATTTCACCTAAATGACCTCACTATGTCTTTACTGTAGGTTAAATTAGCCAGTCACGCTAACAAGAGCATGGTAAGCAGTGGAATCGGTTATTTACCTCTATATTTCAGCCAAAAAGTAGCCGTTGCGTGACATTTCATTTCAATATCTGACCGGATTTGCAAAAACATAGCCACAGAATTTGACTTGTCACTGATAACCTTGATACAATTCTGTCCTAGAGCTAGCTTTCCACGAAGCTTATCGTAGCTCAAATA